TCAGGAGCCCTGTTCTGAGGAGCTGGACTCCTATGGCCGACGAAGTACGATGTCCAGGCTGGAGGTGTTGGCGGACTCCTCGTTTGCACCCACAGGAGGAAAGGGCCATCAGGGCATCATGTGTCTTTGGGGCGGCTCCTTGGTGGCTTGGGAATCGAAGACCCAGCCATTTGCAACGCTGAGCACAACGGAATGTGAACTTCTGGGGTACGTTGATGGTTTGACCCTGGGAGAAAGCGTGGGGGCGATTGTGTCCTCGAGCAGAATGCACTGGCCCAAGAAGGCTCCTATGTTTTGAGAGGTGACAACCTGTCAGGTTTGCAGCTGCTGCCTTGGCGCACCAGACACCTTCGGCTCCGCAGCCATGTTCTCAGGGAGAGGCTGCAGATGAAGCTGTGGCATGCAGAGCACATCCCTGGCGCTGATCTGTGCGCTGACCTGTTGACGAAGGCGATTACAACGCCACGGACTTGGGAGGCGTTCGCTGCTACAGTTGGCTTGGCTCCGGTGATCACTGGCGTTTCTCCTGAAGATCCTGCGCCGTCTCGTATGAAGAAGTTGGCGTTTGGGGCAGCGGTGGCATTGGGACTGCTAGTGCTAGTGATGGCTCCTGGCTTGGGCACTGCAGTTCGTGCCGCGTCAGTGTGTGGCCTTGCTGACAGCATTTGTGCATAGGAATTGTCCGAAGACGGCAGAATGCCTGTCAACCAAGAGGTCTAACGTATCCCAATCAAAAGAAACAAAAAGATGGTCGAGGGAAGATGAACCCGGCCCAACTACAAGATGGTCGAGGGAAAATGAACCCGGCCCTACCGGAAGCGGGAGTAGCATGAACCATGAAAAGAGGTCATCCCCGCACGTCGTTCGATCGACTTCGATCGACTCTTGCCGCACCGGCGCCCTCACGGCCGCGAAGAGCTTGACAAGCTCGCTTCGAAGCCATGGCAAGATGCGCTTGTGCGCCAACTGACGAGCCTTGGGAGCTATGACACCGCCCACCGGAAACGACCGATGGGAGTGCCTGGGATGTGGCTCCGCCAGCGGCGAATGGTGGCTGAGGGTTCTGAAGAAGCCCAGGGTGCGCCAATTTCACCCGCTCCACCGGGGGACTCCAATGGCCATTGGGCGTCTCTCACCGACCCGAATCACAGTGGCCTTCAGCCGGGGGAGCACACGCGAGGCCTGGGTTCGAAAGCTCTCCATCGATGACTGGGTGGAGAACCGAAATTTCAGATTTGAAGGGATGCTATGAGTGGTGTGGCTACACGTTCTTCTATGTGAAGTTTGGGCCTGAGAATGACATCCAGGAGGGTGGGGGTCCTCAGACTTCGCATGCCCAGCTGCCGCTTCATCCGGGTGGCAAAGGTTCTCATGCCCATGAAGGGTACGGAAATGCTGATGGCTTCTCTTCGCACGCTGTGGAGAGGGGTCGAAAAGCTGTTGAAGCTTTGACCGGCGCCTCATTTCGGAGAGTGCCTAGGGCCTATGATGGCACTGCAATCGATGCGCGAGACAATGTGAGCTTGGAGGGTGTCCCGGCGAATGGCTATGAAGCGAAGCGCCTTGGATGCTTGAAAAGGGGAGAAATTGAGGCGCCTGCCTCTTCGACGGCTGAAGACCCGAATGAGGAGGCCTGGAAGGTTTCGCTGCGCAGTGAGCGGTTAAGTCCGCCGGAAGCTGATGACTTGCCCATTTGGTTGGGCATTGAGACCGCCTTTGTGCGCCCACCAGGCCTGAGCCACGACAGCGAGGACTCCAGGTCGGCGGGAAGTTTCGAACTTTTGGGTGAAACAGTAGAAGAAAAAACCTACTCTGGATCCCCATGAAATATGCTGACTTTTTGAAGCAGCATAGGGGGAGTGTGAATGGAAAAGCACAACCCAAAGCATACCTTTTTTCGTGAAGGTCTTGAACACCTGAGAAAGGTGAACCCATGGTCAAAACGACCTGCGTTTGGCTCAAGGAACAACGTGAGCGGCTGTTCGTTTGTCGGTCGCTCTTGTGAGGTTTTTCCATAACCGCAGAAAAAACAAAGACATACAGAAAGACGGAAAGAAAGAAGGAACAGAAAAGAACAGAACAGAACATAACAGAAAAAAGAAAAGAACAAAAGAAAGAGAGCAAGGGAGAACGAAATAAATAGAGAAATAACGAAAGAAAGAAAGAACGAAAGAGAGAAAGAGAAAGAACATAGGATGGTTTGTGATTTGGGAACGAAGAAATCGACGTACACCATCTCCAGGAAGAACTTGCAGATTCAGTCCGGGATCGTCGTTTGGCTTGGTCCCATCACACGCAGCTTTGGGGGGATCCGGCAAAAGACTTCATTCAGGTTGCAAGCGGGGGTCATTGGATGTGTGGATTTGCTGATCTTTTCTTTGGATGTGCCATGCTCTCTTCCAAAACCGATCCATGTTCGAACCTTTGCTCCATCAGCTGGACTGGCTTGAGCACTTCCGTAACTCGGCGCCTCAAAAACACATCCGTATGTTTTTGTTTCTCTCTACCCCTGTGAGATCCGCTTGTTTCTGAGACCAACTCCGAACTGAATTTGCTCATTTGTTTGATACATGCGGAGTTGGTATCTTGCATGGAAGTGACATGCCTGAAAGGAACTGACATACTGTGACATACCCATTTGCCGAAAAGGAACTGACAGTGCCGAACTGCTCGCCTTTGCATCATCCAGGGTCATCGGCATGTCGAACTGGGAGGGTCGAGAATGCGTTTGCCTCAGACGGGTCGTTGTCTCCAGCAGTCGGGGCCAACCCGAGGCTTCGCCCGGCAACCCGAGGGTTAGGTCCAGCAGTCCGGTGGTGCCGGTGGTGGTTTGTCTAACAACATCCATTGGTTGCAAGTGTAGTTCCATGGAGTTCCATGTGGCAAAACAACTAAATGAAGCTTGTAACGTAGCCCGTGTCATGTTGCAACATTGCCCACACATTTGCCTCACCCCCGCTTGGTATCACTCTGTCGACCTTGGCATATCCTGTTGTTTGACCCACCGCGTTTTGCCAAACAAAAATCACAAACAAACAAACAGAACCTTCAACAAACATCACCTTGCAGGTGTATTTCAACAAACATCACCTTCAACTCTCAAAGCACATTCTCACTGTGTTCCCTGTGACACCCGTCGGATCCACAGGGATCCACAGGGGGTAGGATCCGGTTCCGGGTCCGTTGTCGTTTGATGATCCGCCAAAGCGGACTGACCGGACTGACCGAGGAGGACACCCCAGCAGAGGTCTTTTTCAGAACCCGAACGGGATAAACTATCCTAGGCCAGGGTACGCTTGGTGACTCCCGGATCCTATTCCCGGTCTCGTCACCCACCTCTGTTGGCCCCTGGTTTTGTGTTCCGCAATGTTCCACAGCTGGACTTTTGTTGACTTAAAGATTCGATCTCCACTTGCGCAGGCCAACTGGAGCGTCCGGTCACAGCCCTTCCAGTTCTTCTCTGCAGACGTGTTGTGACTCATCTCCTTTGCCGCCGCATTGCTGCAGATCAGTCCGTGTTCTACGATCCCTGCCATGATGTGATGGACGAACTCTGGGAGGCGATGGATGACGAGACACGAGGCTCCAGCGACCACCGTCCTGACAGAGCCCCTTCGAGGGCGGCTCTCCCACATGGCTTCTTAGAGCACCGTGCAGACGATGACTTGGACGTGTTCGACTGCCTTCAACGTTCGCATCTGATGAGCTCCCGGGGGGCACCGGAGAAGCACCGGAGAAATGTGAACTGATGAGATGAACTGTCCAGGAATGCCAGACCAGGATCAGAGGCAAACGGAAGGATAGTGCACAGCTTTGCAAACACCTATTCTACTATATTCTACTAACTTCGTGGAAGGCCGGCTCTTCGTGGACGTTTTGTGGAATGGTGGGCCAGTAGGAGAACTAACCACAACAGAAACCCAGAAGCCTTCGCAGAACTTTGTGAATGATTTTTGATGCACTAACTTCGTATAAGCAAATTTTTGCGGACCCCTTTCTCCGCACACCCTCCATGTACATAGCCTTACATGATTCGTCGGTCATCCAGAGTTTTTTCTACCTGGAACCGGGTTAGGCAAGATAGACATGCAAAGCAGCGTTGACCAATTTCAGTAACGAGATACAACCTATCATTGTATACTGAAACCTGGAAGAGCGATGGGGCCTCCTCAAGAGCGATGACCATGTTCGAGGGTTTTTGCTCGCATGAAGCCGTGCAAAGTGCTGTGTCACATGCGAGCTTTGCCCTAGTTCTGGGAACCTGAAAAAATGCATAACAATGCGTTGAACGTATGACATGGAGTTGTCCGTTAATGCTAGTCTATGAATTTTGGATGAATGCTTTTCAGGGGAAAGACGCCGTTTGGACGCCTCACGATGCCTTTTGCTGGCCTCCAAACGCCGTTTCTTTGGGGGTTCTGCCGCTTTCCGCCCGGTCGCAACTCCAAAACGCCGAGAACTTGGCAAAAAGGACGGCCGTTTCAAGGCCTTTTTCCTTGAAAGAGGCATGAAAAGGCAATGATTTGTGCCGTGTCCAGGATCCAGGTGTACACGGGATACTTTGATCTTGATTTCCACAGAAGGGCTGGATGAGGCTTGTGGGAAAGGAACACCTGTGGTTCTTGAGCAGCGAAAGGCCAGCGAGAGGAAGCTCAAAAAGAGCGGCCAGGTATATTCTGCAGACCCACCAAAAGATGATCCATTTGTGTTGTTTTCCAACCTCGTTCTATGTTTGCGCCTGTTCCAGGTCGATTCAAGACTAGCACCTTGAAGCAGGTTTTCATGTTCTGCCACACTGGTGCTTGCCTGACTCATGCAGACATCTACTCTTCTCAAAGGTGATCTCGGATGAAAGTCAAAGACCCCATCTCCTTGAGGGTCAAAGGGACCACAGACCTTCCAGAAGTGCTGGAGAATTGGACTCATAACCAACCTTCAACAGATGTTTCAGGAGAAGGGGTGCTTAATGGAGGTTAGGACTAAACACCACCCCTTTGTGACTCCTGGTTGATGTATTTTCCTTCAAGGAGATCACACTTGTTGCAGTCTGAAGATGGGACACTCTTCGCAGAAACAGGTGCCGCGCCAACCGACCGCTGCTGACAGCAGGTCGACCGCCGCAAAGGTGATTCGCAGGTCGACCGCTCTCCAAGTGCAGCGGCTCTTTTCATCTCGTGGCGGCTGAAGCTTCGGCGGCTGTTCAGCCCTGCTGCGTGGTGATCA